TGATCCTGAGGCACTAGAATGCTCCAGTGGTCTGGGAGGAAGTCAGACCTAGGGTCCTCTGAGAGCCGGGCCAGTGGAAATGAAGGGAGATGAGGCTGAGATTCCAACAGATGCCTCTGACAATGCAGAGAAAGAGAAGGCTCCAGGATTCTCGTGCTGTCTTTTTTTTATTTTGGTACCGGGGATCGAACTTGGGACCTTGCACTTGCAAGGCAGGCGGTGGAACCACTGAGCTAAATCCCTGGCCCGGCTCCAGGATTCTCCAAGGGCGGTACAGGCTCCTTTCTCCTGCCCTAGCTGGTGGACAATGGGGAGATGATTAGGGCAGGCTGGAAGCAGTAACGACAAGTTCCAAGGTGTCCCATAGGGGCAGCAGTGCAAATGGCCAGCTCTTCCCAACAGCCCTCAGGCCCTCAATGACCATTTTACTCCCTCCTGCCTTCTGGCCATCACAACTGGCTCACAGGAAAGGGTGAGATGACAATTAGAGCGGCTTCTATGCCAACAGCTGTCTCAGCCATAGAGGGCATTCAGGCTAAGGAGAAGCGAGTCCAGCGAGGGCAGAGAAGATGGGCTTACATGTCACTGGGGTCAGGGAAAACCTGGACATCACTACCTACCAGCGGCGACATTTACTTACTCACTTGATAGCCAACCACATTTATTGAGCTCTATTGTGTGATTCACAGGGATGCAAAGGAAACAGAAAAAAAAGCACGGAACTTATGGAGGGAGAGGGGATAAGACACAAGTCAGTGATACGTTAATGTGGAAATACTGTATGTTAAGATAGGAAAGAGAGATACACATAAATACACTGAATGTGGAAGCCCTGACCTTGCCAGGGTACCAAGGCTTCCTGAGAATGTGACAAATAAAATTGGGGTGAGGGGGCTGTTTCCCAGACCCAGAGCAGCACTCTAAGCACAGGGAACAGTAGGAGGACAAGCCCTGTGAGGGAGCATAGTGAGAATCCCAGCAGGGACCAAACCCTCTGCACTGCATGTGCCAGATTTAACAGAGACCCTAACTTCTCCCATGCGTGCCTGACATGCTGCTGGGACTCCTCAGTGGCTGGCCTCCTGCAGGATGCTGGCTCTGGGAAGGGCAGTCCTGGAGCAGGCAGAGCAGGTGGGAAGAGGTCGGAGTCTGCCCAAAGCCCCAGGCTTGTAAGGCCGGAGAGCCCAGCCTTCTCCTAAATGACCTGGAGCAAAAGCCAGCCAAGCTTCCCTCTGAAGAACAGGGCTCCATATGGATGCTACTCCAGCACTGCTGTAAAAGCAAAAGCAGGGAAACAATGCTATATCCCTCCACTAGGGCCCCACTGGGTGGATTATGGAATTGCCAGTTCAGGGGAATCCACACAGTTCTTGAGAAGAACAGATTTACATGCAAAGTAAGACAAGAAATCTCTAAGGTCTATAGTTAAGGGGAAGTAACGTACAGAGCAGGGATGTGAGCAGGCCCAAGTGTGGGCGAGCAGCTTACTCAGGCATCACTCACCTCTGAAAAGAGAAAGCCAAGGCTGGTAACACTTTTCACCTCTGGGTAAGAAAATCAAGGGCAATGGGGAGGAGGATACTCAATGACTACTCACTGAATACCTTTGTAAAGACCTAGACTCTTTAGCAAAGTTTGTCAAATCCAAAAAAATCTGAAACTTTTCAATTCCTAAAACAATAAAATCTTACTAGGGTTATAGCTCAGTGGTAGAGCGCTTGGCTAGCATGAGTGAGACCCTTCGTTCAAGCCTCAGTACCTAAATAAATAAATCTGTTAAGGCAGACCCAGATCTGTCATTTCTCATTGTGGAAAACTGGGTGAGTGATTTCATTTCTTCTGCAAAATGCGGATCACAATACTAACTACTATTATGGTGAGTGAGTATTAAAGCTCTAATGCTTGAAGGAATTCAGTCAAATTTTGGCAGGTAATAGTTAATAAATATGAGCTATAGGTATCCGCAATTAATAATTTTGTACTAGCCAGGTGATTGTTCTTATTATTCAAAATGACACTGGAGTTACTCTCTCAGAATGTATCCATAGTGACAGTAGTGACCTGTCATTCTTTAAGCATTAAAGACAGAAGGATACCTACAGGCTCAAACTGAGCTGATACTAAAGAATGGGGCCACTGGGGGTTTCTGCTTGCTATAGGACCCCTCTTGCAGGCCTGCCTTGGAGCAGGCTGGAATGCTTAGAGCTGGGCAGGGAGGTAGCAGAGCCCTGCCTATCCCTGACCCTCCCTACTCACAAGGGAAATGGGTTAGCACAAGCTTCTCAAACCCTGGAGCTGTTCTGCCAGCTCCCGGGCACAGACGCAGTGAAAGGAGGTGCCCGGGTAAACGCACTGCCCAAGTCTTCAAGGTGGGACATGGGTGGGAAGCCACCACAGAGGACCTTGGGCACCTTGCTCAGAAGGGCAAAGGGTAATCCATGGATCGCACCCTGCTCTTTGCAATCCCCTGGTATTGGTGCAGCATGGAGAAAGATGGCTTTAATTCAATCTGAGTTTGAATCTGGCTCCAATGCACGCTCATTGAAAGATGGGGCCTTCACAGAAGCTCAGTGAATCTGTGAAATAGCAATAATATACCATCCCACAAAGGGGTCATAGAAAAAAAAGGACAGGCATGTCCTAAATGTGCTTCCATCCTAGGGAAACCCATAACTCTCTAAATAAAGAAATCCAGAGATAGGTATAAAGACTGAAAAAGGTCAGGAGTGAGAGCAGGGAACCCCACCAGGGACAGTGTTGCAGGCCTCTAACCATGGGAGTCACCTTCACAAGCTGCCTATCCAGAAAGAGAGGCTGGAGCGGACTGGCAGCTCCCACACTGCTTTCCCAGCCCACACTTATGAGCCTCCTGATGGAAGCACACACTGCCATGTGTGAAGCTGTCCGAGCGAAACTCACAAACCTCTGGAGCAAGGGAAAGAGGAACATGGTAAAGATCATTACAGGGTTACAATGAGCAAAATCTTAACTAGGAAAACCTATGGTTTAATAGGCTAACTTTCTTAATAGCAATAAAAATGATGAAGGGAGGAGGATTTATTGACGAAAGGAGACTTAAAAACCATATCACCCAATTGCAGTATATGGACTTTATTAGGATTCTGATTAATGCAAATAAGTTGAAAAAATTTTGAGATAACTGAAGACTACTGAACACTGCCTGAATATTTGATGATACTAAGAAATTGCTATTAATTCTTGAGATGTTAAAATGGCATTTTTAGCTATTTTGCTATGTGTGATGGTTTAGATCAAGAATGACCCCAAAATGCACCTGTGCTCCACAGTGGGGGTTCTGGAAGGTGATTAGGTCATGGGGATACTACAGTCGAGAGTCCTGTTGGCAGTGGGCAATGATCAGAAGAGGGGAGTCTCTGGGACATGACCTGGAAGAGTATGCTCTCCCTCCCCAAATAATCACAGCTGGAAAGGGACTGAGTAGAGTATGAAAGAACTGATCATTGTAGAAGCTGAGTGACAAGTACATGGAATATAATTCTCTTTGATTTCACGTGTTTGAATTTTTCCACTATGACTAAAAGTGAGTAATCAAGCCATAGACTGAGACAGAATATTTACAATACACATAACTGAAAAAAGAAATAAAAAGAACTGCTACAAATCAGTAAGAAAAATGAATACAACCCAACAGAAAAATGGGCAAAGGCTATGAGAACAGGTCACAAAAGTGGAAAACAAACTGGGCAGCAGCAAATGAAAAGATAGTCAGCCTCACCTGTAACTGGGAAATGTAAATTGAAACCATCTCACAGAAATGTGTTGGTGGGATGTAAAAGCATCGGCAGGAACTCTTACAGGGACTTTATACTTTGGCCAAACTAAAACTAGTTCAATATATTAAACTAGGCAAGTTCACATGTAGCCACTGACCTTAAACACTTGTTTAATGGGGAGGGACGGGGAGCAGGACTACATAAGACAAAAAGAAACAAAAGAGTACAGTAGTTGGATCCACAAGGTCAGAAAGTAGAATGGTGGGTGCCAAGGCCTCAGAGAGGGAAGAAAGAGAAGCTGGTATCTGAGACAGAATTTCAACTGGGGAAGATAAAACAATCTGAAGATGGAGGGTGGTGGTAGTGGTTTCACAATATGTGAACATACTTATGTTGCTTAACTGTACAGTTAAAAAATGGTTAGGATGGTATATTTTATGTTATTTATATTTTACCATAACTTTCAAAGATATGAAAGAAAAAGAGACATATCAACCAAATGCAGTGTATGAATCTCATGTGGATCCTGAATTTTCTTAAGAAAATATAAAAAATGATGACATAATTGGAAGTTTGAACACTGACAGATATTTGAAGATGCACGGTAATACTGAATGATAAGAATATAGTATTTATGTTTTCTTATTTTTAGACATATATAATAAGATTTCTATAGACTTCATACCCAGTATTTTATCCACATAACACAGAGAAAGAAGCAGGGCTAGGTAATTTGGAACTAGACCAGCCTTGACCAGTAATAGTTAAACTTGACAACAGATACCAGACAGTGCATTATATATTTAATCTTGCCTAACTTGGAGCACTTAACATTTTACATAATAAATATATTTTATAATATATAATAATATGTGTGTACAAGCACAAGTGTTAGAATGCTAACAGTGTCCTTGTTTAAATGGCAAAATACTCGTTAATGATAACTGTATCCTTGTTTATAATGGCCAATTTCAGAACAGATTAGTAGAAGGAGAAGTGTGAAATGTGGCTACAGTCTAATTTGTAGTATTTTATTTATTCTAACCCCTGCTGCCTCCCAAAAAGGAAATGTGGCAGAAGTTAATGCAGGTGAAATCCGGATGGTGGAAGCATGGCTGTGCATTCTTTCAGTTTCTGTGCTTTTCTACTCCCTTTACACTACCAATAACGAAAGAACCAAACAGTGCTCGAGGGCAGCAGAAGCCAGAGGACAGACAGACACCGCCGGTGGGCTGCAGCACTCACCGGCCCCCGGAGGTCGATGAGCTCCTGGCGCATCTGGGATACGAGAGCGTCCTTGGCCACCAGGGCCCGGTGCAGGCGTTCATTGAACTCGATCAGCTCCCCATGCATCTCGGCCACCTGGAACAGACAGGCACCAAACTGTGAGGCTGTGAAGCAGACCTTCCCACACCACCTCCCTCCTCCGGATTCTCCTCCCTGGCACGTTTCAGCAAGGCATCAGCAGCTTGTTGGGGCTGCTTACCTAGGAGCTGTGGAAACCCTCCCATATGCTGAATTCGTCTTGATTTGCTTGGTTTTAACACTTGGGAGTAGCATGTCCAAACGTTATAGTCAAAATACAACTATATCATTACTTTTGGACCTTGGGCTCTGGGTCTTCATACTTTTCTAGCAAACACTTTTGTTCTAATCTGAGTTGTACCTGTCAAGAAAGTCCCCACTAATAGCACAATGAGAGTAACTGCCACCATTCTGTTCACCAGGTCCCTAGTTCTGGAAACCAAGGAAACAGAACGAAAGACTTCTCTGGTGTGGTGTCAACAATAGCGACAGACACAACAGCAGCCCCACAGCTACCTCTCTGTTACTGCTTACTCCACTCTGGGACAGATCTTCCTCTGCTCCTCGTGGCTGTATCACAGGAGCTCTGAGAGGTGTGTACTATTATTCCCACCTTAACAGAAAGAGAAACAGTAGCGTGCTCAAGGTCATGCCACAAAGGGCAGATGTGGAGCCTGGCTGTGCGCTATGAACCCGGCTTTACATTGGGCCCAGATGCAGCCTCTCAGGCTATGGGGAACCACAGGATCTTTCTGAACTGAATTACTCAACATTTCTGGCTGATCCTAAATACATAAAAATGGAGATAGCTACATAGTAGCCTATAATCAACATAGAGACTTCTCAACTATAACTTACCTAAACATATTAGAGAAACATGAGATGTTACACTGCCATGTTATCTTTGAACCCTGCAGGAAGACTACAAGCACCTTAAGAGAAGCCTGCACAATGTGAGGTCAACAGACCCTGGGCTGGCCTGGCCCCCTGACCTGCCCATCAGATCAGCCCTCCCATACCTCAGACTTACCTAAGCAGTCACTACACCATGTGTCATGTGCAACAATACCATGTCATTTGTAACACGTACTTTACATGAGATAAAAGATACTGTCGGAATAAGGGAAAAGCACTATAAAACAAAAGATCACTAACCTGGGGCTCTCCATAGGAGAAACATAGGGGAGCCCTTCTTTTTGGTTGTTTTTTTACATAAAGGTAAAAAGCTTAGAAGCAGCCAGGCATGGTGGCACACACCTGTAGTCCCAACACTCTAAAAGGCTGAGGCAGAAAGTTCCACCCACACTCTTTAAAAAACTTCACACACACACACACACACACACACGTACACACGTACAAAGGGCTGGGGATGCAGCTCAGTGTGAAGGCTGTGGGTTCAATCTCCAATATCAGAAAAAAAGCTTAGAAGGAAGATATTAATATTCAAGGAGAATGTTTTTTCCCATTCTTTCTAATTTTCCTTAGGTAAGTTTCCAAGTAATGAGCACTCTTTCATTTATCAGCGAGGGAAAGAATGAAGTTCTTTAAAGAATTAAACTCTAAAGAGTTGAAATTCTTCACCTAAAATGAAAATGAGCCATTGTACAAGTAACATGAAATTTATCAGGTTCTTAATTTTCATCTGGACACTTTCATTAACTGTGAATTCCCCTCAAATGGCAACCCTCTGTCTCCAAGGTGTCCACCTCTGCCAAGCCAGTGTAAAATACTAAGTGAAAATGGCACAAAAGATACTGCAATAAGTACAAATTAACAAAGGAAGAAGTCACTGAGCCTTTCCCCCTTTTTTTTCTTTGTACAGACCTAAAATTAATATTGCCTAGTTGCCTTATTTCTTTTGTACATGAAAAGCTTAAGTTGATCTTCTTCTGGCCTTTAACAAACAAATACAGTATCACTAATAATGTCTCTGTGAGCCCTCTACACAGAAATCACATAAACACTCCGTGAGCTTCCTTGGGGCAATGAATCCATTTACCACACAGTAGCTAGCTACCAATATCTCCAGTAAATACCTGCCAATGTGCTCCCACAAAATGTGAGCTTTAAATACATGCCAATGCCATTTCCAAAACAAAGCGAGGTTTTATGTTTTCGTTTTGTTTCACAGAGGCAACCAGAGCACCACAACAAATTTTCATCAGTGTGTGGAACCTCTAAACCTCCCAGACTGAAGTGCTTACCATGAGCTGTCAAAAACCTGGTTCTCTTTTGCAGCCAGAAGAGTGATTTGACCACATCAGACAAAGCTTTCTTTATACTGAGGAACAGAAAAAAATTTTTTGATGGAACTGAGACAAAATTTGATGAAATTTCATTGTTAAACTCCAGTGTTCACCGATCCTGAGTTAACTCCTGGAGCTCTGAGTTTTGTTTTGTTTTGTTTTTGGTACCGGAGATCGAACTCAGATCCTTGCGCTTGCGAGGCAGGCGGTGGAACCAGAGCTAAACCCCCAGCCAGCTCTGAGTTTTTACACTGCACCCGGCTACCTGCAGCCACTGGTGTGAGCAGCACTTACCTTCTGGAAGTCATAGCAGCTTACTGCTCCTCAAATTACTATTTCCAAACTCGAGTCAAACCAGAAACAAATTCAAGAATTAAAGAGAGCCTCAGAAGAGGAATGTAAGATCAAAAGTAGTTCCCACTATCACAAAAATAAAAATAGGCCAAGACACCACTGTCTCTTGGAATCTTTATTAGTCTGAGAAGGCACTCTCAGGTCTCATCTGACCACCTTATTTACCAGAGCCAAAGAGAACTGCAGCAAACAGGACAGAATCAGATCTGATCCAATCTCCTCCAAGCAGGCACAGTGATCTTCCTGAAGTCACATCTCATCTTGTCACCTGTTTAATACCTTCAATGCTGCCACTACCCTAAGAGTAAGATCCAACTCCTCTCTGACTCCACCTGTCACTCTCAGTGCCTCAAAACCACCTCTCAGCCCTCCAGGTACTCTCTCTTCACAAAAAGGCTGAGCTCCGGGAAGCTGCCCTCCAGAGAGAGAGGAGAAAGGTACGTTCATTCACAGAAATTACAGGTGCCAAGGGCCGGCTCCAGAGGTCAGCAGAGACAGGAGGTAGCCGAGATCCAGGACAAGCCTGGGTCTGATCAGCTATCAGCAGTGTGCTCTGATGCAGGACAGGTAAACTCCATGGCCCAGAGGCCAATCATCTACCTATAAAGTGGACCACCATGCTGATGAAACGAGATGCAATTCAGCCAAGGCAGCATGTTCACGGCAGGGCAAATGCCCAGGGGCTGAGCCAGTTTTCTGTGACAGGTGAAGGCATAAGGAAATATGCAGGCGGCAGAGCAGCAGGTCTCTAGAGGTCAAAATGGGCCCCACTGTGCCACACCAAGGAGCTGGAACAACTATGGGAAGACGCACTGTTGTCCAAAGCAAGAGCATGTTAGAGTTGCTAATCTAAGGCAGGTTCTAAGTGAACCATGCATGGGGTGGACCAGGTGAGCCAGTCACATGGTTCACATCCTGTGACATCTGGTCAGATAAATCATGATAGAATCACTTGGAAGGAAGGCAGGAGGTCAGGGAAGGCCACTCAACGAGACCGCATGCCTGAGTCACCTACCTAATGGAGTCTGGAACATGCCAGGCAGCCTCCAGTGGCAGATCCATGCCCTAAATCCCAAACGGGCACCTGCTGTGTTCTGGCACCATAAGTGCTCAGAACATTTGAGATTCACGTTTCTTTCTACTCTCAGTTGTTATATTCCATGAAAATTACTCTGAAAGCAGTTAGGGAAAAGCTATCATTTGACAACACTGATGACAATGACAAAAACAAATGTCAGGTGGAGATCCACTGACCAGGTCTGATGAAGCTCCAAGCTCTCCCAAGGTGGACTCTGCAGAGGATCAGGAACAGACCCTTGATTCTCTGAAAGGGCCAAGGACAGTACTTGGCTAGTAGATGTGGCCCCTGCACTGTGCTAGGAAGGTTCACAACTTATCAGCTAATAAGCTACAAAGGTTTCGGAGTCATCCTTTGGGTACCATCCTTAGAGCTAGAAAGAATAAAGTAGAAAGATTTAAGAAATTTAAGTGAAAAGGGTGTTTGGCTGCAACTATTATTTTTTAACCTCTTATACCTTTCCTTGGCAAGTCACTCCTAGGCAAGTATCTTGTCTCTCTTGCTTGCACATGTGCCCAAAGTATAAGTTCAGCTCCCGATAGCTATAACTAACCTCAATGCTCATGGAAAGGGGACTAGTTAAATATCTCAGGATTCCCTACTCTCTGCTGCTGACTGCCCCTTTGGCAGACAGCATTAATCAATCATTGTCCCTTAAGAAGACAACCCAGGCAGACATACAATCAACCCAAATCCTAGCATACAAAATGACATTCATTTGGTAGCCCTGGTCTAAAAGATAGGGAAAGTCATCTATAAGAAGGTAACACTCAAGCTTGTTTTTGGAAAATGATGCCTTTACAGCTTCAGAAGACTAAGCAGTTCCTTCCAGCTGGAGTATCAAGGAAGATGATCTCCAAAAATAAGGTGGCTGTGAAAAGCTTTTAAATCTGTGAAAATCCCAGGAATTATCATAACTACCTGCCAAATCATGAAAGGATTATAAATTTTAAAGGCCTTTGGCATTTCCTTTCATACCAGAATGTTCTATCTCATCACATTCAAGTAAATCATGCTTTACCCTCCTTCATCTAACAAATTAGATGATTTTGGTTAAGAACAAGACTCCTCCACCTCAAATTTCAGTAGCGATTGAGGTTCTTCTAGTTACATCTCCAAGCTCTCCAAGAATGTTCACTTAGAAACAGCAGAATCTATGTATGTGATGAAACTCACAAGCCATCTTCTGGCCCTGTTTATGGTGGCTGTGGGAGGGGCCTGGAACCTCTTTCTGTGAAGACTGCATCACATCTGCCAGTGTCCACACTGCCTTAACTCACCTGTGAGTGCCAACTACCTGCCAGGCAGTCATGGGCTTGAGGAATCCTTGCCCCCTCTCCTACAGGGTGGACACTTTGCCTAAGGCCAGCCCAAGTGTCTGAGCAGGAAGTGACAGAGCAGGGAGGTGAACTTATGCCTTGATGGCCCTACTATCAGTGCTCTTTGCCCAAGGAATCTTGTATATGTAGAAGACCGTCCCCTTTCATGGCTAAGGAAGAAAAATCTGTCCTGCAGAGGAGAGAGAAGTAGCAGCTCCTGCTCCAGCTGATCAATAGACACTTTGAAGGGTTCTTTCTGAAAAATGCAGATTTCTGGGCCTCACTCCCAGAAGTTCCAATTCAAATGGACGGGAAAAAGGAAAACCAAGGAAGTATTGGTTAAAGGCTCCTGACAAAGGCAGAGCATTTCTTAGAAATAGCTTGGAACTACAGTCAGGCTGTTCCCTGGTGTAGAAAACACAGTTTTCAGTGCACCATTCATAAGACATGATGTCACTGGTTCCTCCACATGTCAGCTCGAAACCTCTGATGGTAACTGATAAGAATGTGGACAAAAGCCAGAGAAAAACTGCACGAACTCTGCCAGCCAGCAACAGATGGCGTTAACAGTCTTCATGGTACTATCGCTCTCGGCAGAGGCAGAATGGGTGAGCCTGTACCAGTGCAGTGCAAAGTGTGGCCTGGGAGCTCCTTCCACGATGGGACTATCACTGCCCACATGAGAGACAAGAGAAGAACAGACATTCAAAATGAGCATTTAGAAATGTTTAGAGCAGTTTCATACTGCTGTGACACCCAGGAATTTAATTTTTCAAGATTTTCTTTTTATTTTACCAAAGTATTGGTCTACGCTGAATAGAAAAATTTTACAAGTAGTTCAAGAAGCACTTAACTACAATACATAAGCTGTTTGAAGCAATGTCTTGCATTAATGAAAATGAAAAACAATGATAAATATTAATGATGAAAAAAGCCAAAACAGTCATCATTGAGTAAATTTGAGAGTTGAAAAGAAAAATAAAATAGAACCAATATTTTCAATGTCCATCATTCTTTTAGACATGCATACGTCATTTTCTTGGAGCATATCTCTTTGGCCTTGAGAACTATGAAAATGAGCACCAGAAACTGACATGAGGCGTGCCAAGACCCAGCTCAGGTGTGGAGGCATGGGAAGGCACCGAGAACTCCGAGTTGCCAGTGGTCTCTCTGGCCCAGCACCAGGCAGCCTTTCTCAGAGGGCCACATCCCACCCATCTACCAGAGCAGGATGGTGCGGCGCAGGCTGAGCAATAGCCCAGCTCACAGCATTTGTGAGGGCCAGTGAAATCTGACTCCAAAGCCAACACTCACTCCATCACACGGCCCTTCAAGTGACACATAAATAACCCAGAAAGAGAAATAATATGTCCAGCTGAGCGAGCAGAACACCTAGGCTCAGGAAGGCAAGTGTCCACTTCCTAATTGGGTCATGGCTACAGAGCAGGTTCCTGCTTTGAAATCCGGTGCTCTCTGCTTCTCCCCTGGGGGCCTCAGGCTCCTCACAGAGCCGGGAAAGGGGAAGTGTTTTCTAACTGAGATTCTCTCCCCACATAGGGCAACAGTGGGGTGGAGAAGGCAGGATCCCAGAGCTTTAGCTCTGCACCAGGAACATCCCTGTAGTCTCCAGGCAAAACTGCACTGAATCCTACAATATGAGCCCCCGTGAGGTAAGTACTGCTACCGGCCCCACTTGTGCAACTAAGGAAACTACGGCACAGAAAAGGTAAGCAGCTTGCTCAAGATCAAACAGGGAAAAAGAAAACAAACAAAACAAAACAAAGACCACACAGGGAATAAGAGCAGAACTAGGACACAAACTCCTGAGCCCCTATTCTTGGGCACACCACTCTTCCCCCCTGCCTCTCAGCACACACCATCTTCATGCTGCTGAGCCAGCCTCTCAAGATCTGAGTGGACAGTGGAGGGCCTAAGGCGTGATGAACCTGTAACCAGGGGCTGAGAGACTCACAAAAGCAAGGGACACCAATACTCACAGAGAGACAAACACAAGGACACGCACAGCCCAGGAAAAGGTACTGCCTACCCCACAGGGAAGGGACTGTCTTTAGCTAGAATGGGGAGAAAGCCAGCTGAGCTCTCGCTGAGCCTCCCAAGGCCAGTCTAGATTGTCACAGGCCAGGTTTCAAACATCCCCATCAGGGGACCCTTGCAGTAAGGGAAGGGGCACCAGAGTGACCTAGACACTCACCAGAGACAGGGCTTCCCCCAGAACTTGGCAGCAACTGTGGGAGAAGACCCTGGAGCACCCCAGCTCCAGGACTGGCCTCCTCCAAACAGTCTCTGCTTCCCAGAAAAGTGCTCTGGAAACCAGCTCCTACATGAACTTCCAGCATGAAGTCAGCCCTGGGGCTGGCTGCTACCATACTTGGGTGTTCCACACAGAGCAACCCTTTCAGGGAAGAAGACTCAGACAGGATATAGAGGAACGAGGGGTTGGGGCCCTGTCTACTCGATGCTGTGCGATCTGGAGCAAATATACATTTCTGGCTCCTGAGATCCTACTTGTAAAATGAGGCTACTATCACAATATGCAGGGCTACCAAAGGGTACACAAGGATAACAGAGTCTGGAAGGCTCCCCAGGACCTTGTGCCCATGAGCACTTCCTACGGAGCAGATGAGATCTAGGCACTTTTTACCTTGGGATGAGCCTGAGAGGGACAGAGGCTCAGAAAGGGGAACTGAATGTCCAAAGTCACACAATCTCCAAAGGAGGGGTGTCAGCCTGACTCTGGAGCACACAGTCCTGTGTCTACCCTCTCCTGTGTCTTCAATTTCTTTCTTCCTTCCCATCTGCCCTTTGCTTTGACTCTGCAGAATGCCAGGCTGAGCCCAGGAAAGCCATTCAGGCTCACCCAGAGGCGGCAGAAGCTCCAGCTCTCAGAGCAGATCCTTCTCAGGGACACAGTGTAAAGTCACAGCCATCTCCAAATGCCACCAGGACAGTGCTGTGTGGGCTCCATCTGCACAGTCAGAGTAGAGGGTTATAGCAACCCTGGTAATAACTGCATCTGAACGACTCCCAGAGTCTCCTCAGGAGCAAGACCACCAGTGCTCAGAATGCTGAGTTTGACAGAGGTGAGACTTGAAAACAACGGCTGGGATTGCTATTCAATGGAAGACCCCAGCATAAACAACAGCTCCATTGGTAAGACAGGCCACTGAGACACAGGTGACAGATAACTGTCACTGCCCTGTGGAGCTGCTGAGTCCCGATGTCAGCCCTTATTCCCCTGGACACGTGGCCTTTCAGAGAACACACAAGCTATGGAGAAAGGTCATGCAGAGCTGCCACTGCCAGTCCCAGAGGAGCCCTACCTTCCCCTGCTAACCATAAATGGCCCTGAGAGAGCAAAAGCAGAGTATACAGAAATGATGATATTCAAACAGTGCCCAACATCTTCTTGGTGGTGGTTTGAAAAAATGAGTAAGGGCAGGAGAAAAAAAGCAAACATAACCATGAGTTTCAGCCCTCTGCTAAGTGATGTGCTCACCTGAGCAGAAGAAAGCAGCAGGCACCTGAGCAACTGTGCAGGGCTGAAGCAGATGACCCAGCCTTCGGAGCATCTGCAGGCAGCCAGTGGCACCATGGTTAGCTGCCAACTCTGGAGCAGGGGTGGGTGCTGGGGACCTGCCCCACCCTCAGACTTGTGACCTTGGGCAACTCACTTTCTCCTTTTGGGTTTTGGTCTCTGGACAATAAAATAAGGATAAGAACAATGCAAAGCTCACAAGACTCCTATGAGGTTTAAATAAATTAGTGCCTCAGAAGGGCCTTGGCATGTATGAGGTAGTCCTTAAATGCTGGCTGTTGTTATCCCATTAAACAGGAGAAGCACGCACCGCCCCTGGCTCTGTAGGACCTCTCTTGGGCCCGATCAGTGTTCAGAAGTGCCTTCTCCATGGCCTGGACAAGCCCACAGTTCCTGCTCCCCATCTATACTCAGATGGCCCTCCTAAAACCAAACCAGTCATGCACGGCCCAGTCTCTGTGGAAAGCCCTTCAGGGCCGTGGACAGATCTAATGACTTGATGTCCATGATCAGCTTCAGAATGATACTGGGCCAGAGGGAGGACCAGCGTCCGCTGGAAGTACCTTCCAGTACCTCCAAGTCCGCTGGAGCTGAGTGGGACTGTATTCTGGGCGAAGAGAGGAGGGGACGGCAAGAAAGGGAAGGGAACATCCCCAGAGAAAGGCAGTCACTGACCAGAGGGGGCTATGTCTGCACCCCTGCCCTCCTCCTAAAATCCTACCCACGCTTCAAGACGTCATGCACATCTGTTTACTTCTGTGATCCATTCATCCATCTCCATAATGACTCCTTAGTAGCAACAGTAACAGTTGTGGTTTTTGGAGCAGTTATTATATATCAAGCATGTCAGCCTCAAGAAAAAGACTCCTTTTTGCAAATAAGACAAAGAGTACTCTTTGGCCACAGTTTACAGGGCTTGGGATTAGTGAGTGGGCAACCTCTCGGTTACACACAAAAGCTGTAGGTATTATGCCAGGTGCTCTTTTGCTGCTGTTTTACTGGGTATAATGCTGACACCCAGACCACACACTACTCGTCACACAAAATTCCCATGAAACAGGGTGCAGCACTGCCTGGCCAGCTTTAACACGTGGCCACAGCTGGCGCTGTCTCGTGGATAGCCCCAGCCCTGACACAGAGCACAGGCTCTCAGCCAACGCACATCTTTCTTGGGACTGCCACTGACGACCCAACACTTCAAAGGACTGTTTGCTGGACCAAAGCTGGGTGAATCTAAGGTTAACACAGCCCGTGGTGCTGTTCACTTGGCACCGCACGGTGCTGTAATTATAACCCATCACAAGCACAAAACGCTGCATTCAGCAGGGCCTGTGAAAATGGGTCAAAAAATGATTTTTACAAAGGCTTTGTTGGCTTCACCTCTCAAAAGTAGTTTCAGGCCTGCTCACAGAGGAGAGCAAATGATTTCCAAAGAGCCCAGTCTGGGGGCAGTTTGGTGTTGAACTCATCTCCCCCACACCACAGAAAGCCTTTTCCAGCCTGCATGGCCAGCAGCCAAAGGGGAGGAAGAGGGGAAGGGGAGGCCATCAGCATTATGAGCAAACACAGATGGGCACGGTGTCGCACGCCTGTAATTCAGCACTCTTGGAGGCTGAGCCAGGAGGATCACAAATTTGAACCTAGCTTGGGCAACTCAGTGACTTGAGTGAATCCCCATCACAAAATTTAAAAAAGGGCTGGGGTTGTACCTCAGTGCAAAGGTCCTGGGTTCAATCCTCAGTGGCACTAAAAAGAAGAACAAATGACCCGGAGCGTGCAGCCTTTGCTGCCTGGGCCGAGCACTGCCCCGGAGTCAGCTCATCCACACAGCAACTCTACAGCCCTCTGTGGCACAGTTCCTTCTTCAAACGCAGGAGGGTGGGGGGGGCAGAGGAAGTAAAAGTGACTAAGATGTGATGGGTATATATGTGTACCAGTTCCCAGGATGAATGGTATCACCTGGGAACTGGTTCCCTGGTTTACCAACTTCATTTGTTTTACGATTTGGGGGAAGATGGCTGCATTTGTCTTTGTGTGGGGAAGATGGCCGTTTGTCACTCAATGTGGAGTTTGCAAACAGAAGTAACATTTTGCCAAATGCTTTTGTTTGTAAACCAAACTGTTTGTGAAAACTATAAGTGTTTGTGAACTGAGATGTTACTGTACATATTATATACTGTAAACATACACTAATAAAGAAACTTAAACCGAGGGTGATGGCATATGTCTGTAATCCTAGCACTCGAGAGGGTGAGGCAGGAGGACTGCTGTGAGTTCAAGGCCAGTCTGGGCTACATAGGGAGTTCTAGGCCTGAACTACAGAGTGAGACCCAGAAAGAAAAGAAAAAGACAAAGAGTTAAAAGTAAAGCATTTAAAAGAGGAGCTTATCTCCCTCCAATAACCGAAAATCCTCAAATTCATTCAACAAATAAGCAATGAGCACCTACCATCTGCCAGGCCGTTTGAGCACTGTGATTATATAGCAGCAAACTAAAGAGATCAGATCCTGCCTTCAGGGCGCCTGTGTTCTAGCTACTTGACTCTCTGACCAATGTGGAAACAGCTTTACAGAGGCTTAGTCCCAGAGCCCCTTTTCATCAGCTCCCTCCCAGGTGAGGCCCAACGCACATCTCTTCACAGCTCTGGGACCACTCACACCCCAGCATATTCAGCCATCCGTTTACTTGGCAACTGCGCGCCAACCAGGTGCTTGCTGTCGGTGACAGGACCCCGCCCTGTCAGTAGCCCAGCAGGAGTCCTGAGGTCCCTGGGAGCACAGAAGAGAGGTGCCCACCCCGCCTGGGATCAGCAGAGGGGGCAAAGGACTGAGGGCAGCCAGCTGGAGGCAGAACAGGTTCAGCCCTAGGCCACAGCCCAGCCCATTTCCCACCTGCTCCCATCTTCTCAGTTATAAAACAGGCATCCACGCTGCCAAGTGGAATTTTAAACTGGGTAGGAACTGGCCCAGAGCAGGGGCTCACCATGGGCAGCTCATTAGTATTCTGGAGAACTGGTTGCCAGACCAAGCAAATTATGTAATACTGGGCATCTAGCACCAGCTCCCCAATTCAGAGGTTTCGCCAGAAAATATTTCACCCTCAAGTGTTGCTTTCTCATTTATTTTGCAGGGTGCCAGAAAGCACAGACTTCCATATAAAGATGCAAATTCTGAATTTATGTGACTCTGTCATACTCTAATGTCCTCCAGAAGTCAGGGGAGGCTGGTGTGCATTTTTAATCATATTCTTTGAAAGAAACACATAGGGACCTCCTGAATATTTCAACCATGGCTCAGTGAGTTATGTCCAAGTTTCAAAAGAAAGACAATAAATGAAAAACATTAAATTTTATGAGCATCAGAAATGTTTTTCTCCCTTGAGAGTCCCTTTCTCATACCAAACAGCATTTGCACATAGCCAAGAAGAGCCCCCTTCAGGCCGTGCCTGTCTTGGTCCTGCTGGAGAGGAAGACACAATTATCACTTGTGACAAAAGTAACTGGTGCTCACAAACACCTGTGCACAGGGTGCAGGAGGTCACCCTGTGCTCAAGTATAAACAAGCAGGGGGAGGAGGGTGTGAGGACGAACTTGGAGCTGGATGTGCTCAACCCACCTGTGACTTGCTTCCTGGGTGACCTTGAGAGTCATTCCACTTTGCTGGGCCTCAGCTTCAGCATCTGTTAAACGGCATGCTCGGGAGCAATTATACCACAGTTGTTATCAGGACTAAATGAGTTACTATACAACTAGGATTCAACAAACAATACTGCAATTCTGATTCTTGGAGCTCTGTTTGACACATGAAAATGTGTGCCTCCCTCAAATTCATGTAAGCCCCATGACCATCACAATGGAAAGACAAGATGGGACAGTTTGTAAACCTCACAATCTCACTCAGCTGGAATCTGGGGCCATGCTTGCTGCTGAGCCCCACAAACTGTTACTTCGCCCAGTTGTGAATACTGAAGCCTTACTGTCTCACAGTTAAATGGAGGTCAAACACTCTTTGCAAAATGGGAAGCAGTGGATGTGACTGAGATCACACCCACTTCAACAGCATGCGCTCTAACATCTGTGACCCTTCTTCCTTCACAGAAGGCCTCTGGGTCCCCCACCTCCCAGAGGGAAAAGACGGTTCATATTTTCAGGGGCCTCTATCAAGCTGGGGATTGGGTAAAATCTCCTCTCTTCCTGGAACAAAACACTCAGCTGGAAGTGACTTGGCAGCTGTGAAACTGCTCTCGCCCTAGAATGAGAAGGACATGGACTGGTGCTCACCAAGTGCTCTGCCAGCTCCCCTGACTTTGCCATCCTCTTTGCACAACTGGGCACAGGCTTTTGATTGTTCTGGACAATAGGATCCAGGCAGAAGTGACACATGTCGCTTCTGAGTCACAGCACAGGACAACTGGTGCGCAACCTTGCTCCTGTCCCTTTCCCTTCCCACTGAGCGAGAATTCTTGTTCACCAGATGGCGTAGCTACAAGACAGAGGAGCCTCTGTCAGCCCAGGCTCCTGAGTCCCTGTAAACCAGACACTCTCACTCCCGCCCTGAAAGAACCCATGCTGGACAAAGTGCCTTTATTTGGTTAAAGCATGGAGAATGGGGATCACTTATTCCTGCAGTGCTACAGTACATCAGTATTACTGATTCATACAAGCTTCAACTTGACAGCACTGTATCTTCCTTGCTCTCTGACAATGGACATGAGAGCATGAAAAATGGGATAGAGGCCAAAGATTTGTCAAAGGCTGCTTCTCAACACCCACTGGAAACAGGGATGTACCATGATCCCCTTTTTAGCGAGGAAGAACCTGGACTCAGACAAGTCAAATCATTTGTTTGAGGTCATATAACAAACAGTGAAGCCAGAATTTGAACCCAGGTCTATCTTTCCCAAGGCCCAGTAAGTACTTTCTAATGAATTCCAGTCTGTGAGGGCTCCAAATACAATGCAAATCTCTCCTTGGACTTGAATATGAATACTAATCACACATCAGGTGGGTTTCATGTGCCAGACACTGTTCTGAGTCTTTCATCCACATTCCTGCACGGTGAGAGGCATGCTTCTTCAAGGCCTGATGCCATTTTACGGCTAAGAAAAGACAGGCTTGCGGAGACGGTAGGAAAAGTTCTCAGAAGGTGATCATGAAGTAAATAAAGATCCAGTCAAGGATGAAGAGGATACAGATTCTTTCAACAGAGGTCAAGAAAACATTCCTCACAAAAAGGTACAAAATGGAAGACTCTGGAACACTTTCTACTGCTGGCCTGTGAGGTCCAAAGATGCTTCAATACCTAAGATACTCATGGTCAGGGGAGCTAATGAGAATCTCAGAGATG